AGAAGTTTCTCAAGAACCGTTTGAGCCACAGAATTCGTTTTGGTATCGTTGGATAGAGAATTGAATGGGGGGTACATCAGACGCCATAAAGAAAACTGAACACCAGAACGGTAGATGATGGTTACTCACTCAATTGTAGTCCTGCGCTGGATAGATTTGGATGGGACTGATCCGCCGCCATAGTTCGAGCCCCGGAAACGGGCGCTGGTAGCAAAGGGGGCGGTGGTTGGGCTTGGGCGGTGTTGGCGCCGCTGCTCTTGTGGCTCCTGCTGGAGTTGCCGCCCCCGCTCGCCGAGCGTCGGCCGCTGGCCGTCGCGGCCCCTCCGCTGCTCGAGCTGGCACACGAACCCGTTGTTGTTGACGTGCCGCTTTGCCCTAATCACACACCATTTACATTAAAAAATTCTACCCCTTTTAACCCGCTTAGACAATCCTAACTGTTCCGCATCTAAAGTGTTAACTTCTTCTACTACAGTGTGCGGCAAAAATCCCAGAAGGTTGGATTGGATTGCGTTTGGTAAAGAGCGAATATTCTTGGCGCGCAAACCAGCATTTAAGTAGCTGAGTAAAGCGGCATCTACACCCGATCGTGATTGAATTTAGGCGACAAAACAAACCAACCACAGACAGTTTATAAATAAGTTCTATATTGTTGAGGCGGATTCATTTTTCGCAAACTCCTTCTTGAGTATTTTACTGGCGACTTGTGAAAAATAAAGACAGTTTGTAAGTTGCATTATTTCCCCTCAACCACATTCAACAAATATGAAGCACAGTTTTCAATCATTCGCTAAAAAGGTTATCGCTTGTTTTCCGTTCTTTCGTGGTTTGGTTCAGGTCACGCCATAAATAAATAAATAGGGCAAACACTCGTTGACGGTGAATTCAAAGATCGCAAGTTTGCAATACGGGACTCAAAACACTTGGATTTTCATCCTCAAACTGGAATTAGAAAGCCTAAGGGTTGAAGCTCACAAAAAAAACACCTGGATTATTCCGCTAAACTCGATGAGCGAATTTGGAGGGCCGTCAAACTGTCCGGATTTTACACTTCACACAAAAAGTCAACTGCCGAAGGCCCTTTTAGCTGGTACACATGGTTTGAGTTTCAAAAATCTAAAAGAGACTCTGACTTTAGGCAAGCTTCTGAAAACCGACAAAATGAATGATGACAAAAAAATAGATAAGTTTGTGACGTTATCTAGTCGCTCTTGATAATTTCAGGCTAGTTGCACAGAGCGAATGCGGACTGGTAATAATTACGTGACAAGCAATCAATTATCGAATTTATATACAAAGAATTAGTTTATCAGCGGCGGATAACGAATCAGGATGAATGCCATTAACGTTGATGATAAGACACTCAACTGGAAAACTGATGGCTGTTTCTAGTGGATCTTATTTAAAAACTCTCACTAACAAAGGTGGATCTCATTCTCTGATTTGCTTAATTACTTAAACGTTGAAGCGCAGCGAAAACAGAGCTTCGGTGCTTAAATACGCAGTGACTGATAAAGAATTAAAGCAAGACTCTCCACGACAGTGAAAATTACGTGTGGAATTCATCTCAATCAGTTTCAAACATTTTTCCGTGCCTGAAGCTTGACTTTGAATATTTTGTGCGTGAAGCCAAGGGAAGCGCAACATTGAATATAATTAGAAAAAAATCTTGTGGGTTTAACTATGACTGAGATACGAAGAAGATAAAAATTTGTTTGAAGCGACTGGAAGATGAAAAACCTGCCCAGTGTGAATGTTTTGTTGAGCGCTACTGAGCGGAGCGACGAATTCACTATTGCAGCCTATAAAAAATCGAAACTTCAGAAGATTTGAACTCAGTTTCAGCTTGTTTTCACTAGCTCAGCTCTGAATACATGCAAAGTTTTTGTTTCAGTTTGATTTTAATAAATGCATTAATTTGTGTGTCTGCTAATGACTTTAACAGTGTTAAGTTTGTCTATTCCTACCTTTGCTGCTTCTGGTAACTCGCCTCAACACAGCACCGCTCCTGGTGAGCCGGAATTGTTCTGGAGGATCAGGCGCCAAATTTGGGGCCGAATGCGCCTTGCTGCTTCTGCTAGTGGAGGCACTGCTGGCCGATGCACCCAGCGCTGCTTGTTGCCCTTTTCCCGATGCAATTCTGCGAGGAGCGAGTTTTGAATCTACTAATTTGGCCCGCTTTGGTTCTACTAACGTACCTTTTCCAGGGCTGATGCGCTTGAGTGGATGGGTTCGGTGGAGGCTTAGTTGATGGAGTGTCGAGCGCCGAAGAAGACAAGCTGGCACTTGACGAGAGCCGTGAGCTGCTGCGCAGTGAATATTTACGAATCTGAAAAAAGCGGAAAGGCATTTTAGAAGTGCTCTTTTTGGCTTGCAGCCACTGTACTCACTTGTGGATATGTATGGTTTGCGCTTGTACTTGCACCAACGTCTTCGACACCACTAAATCCTCCCTTCCTGCTCTTGTGTGCTCTTGCACTTTCGTCGCTCGCCTCTAACTCGCGCTTCAAGCCTTTCTCGCCCTTTTTACTCCTGCTGCGGCTCGGTTTCTCTTCCTCGGCCTTTGACTTGGTTTTGTTGCGGTGAGTGCTGGCGTTTCGGGAAAGGACCGGAATTTTCGAAGCAGGCGCACTATCAGGCTCTGGACTGCTATTCCTAGATAAGAGTCGCTTCCTGGTAGAGCGTTCCGCGTCCCCTACGTCTAGCAGCGAAGCTGCAGCAGCCGAATCGGAGCGCGCAGACCTGGTGGAATAAGAGACTTTATGGGAGTTTGTAGGCCCGGCAAGGTCTTCTTGGGATTTCGACCGGGGATCCAGGTGAGTTTTCTCGCTGGCGGAAGTCTTAGATTTGGCAGGCTTTACCTGGCAAAGAACATCCACTTAGGGAATAGAGCGTTGAGGCTGCAGGTGTGTCTTACTTTGCTGCCGCTGGCAGCTGATGGACGAGTTTGGCTGCTCTGAGAACTGAAGTCCACTTGAGATGCAGTCCGAAGGCGCTTGGCCTCGGCTCGCAGCTGCGATCGCAGCGCACGCTTGCGGCTAGTGCTTGCAGCAGCGAAACTGTTAGCTGGATCTGCCATAGACGAAGCGTTGTAAGCCCCTCCACTTACTGATGACACTCATTCCCTTGGGATTCAACTTGCTCTGGTTTTGTCACGCTCAGCTGAAAAGTCATCGGGATTCGTTAATAACTTGACAATTTCGAACGGAGCTGCTGGTCAAACACCAGCCACATGAAGGTTTCAGTGTCACTCAAAAGTGTTGAGCCGGCACCAGGTTCTTCTACGCGAGTTGCGATCGAACGCTGATAATTTGGAACGCAGCTGGTCGATTGGCATAAGGGAAAGTGGCCTGGCGAATATTCTGAAAGAAGTTCAGCTTCGAAGCGGAAAAAAGTTTCAAACTCACAGGGAAAAATTGATGGCGCCCAATTATTTAAAACACCGACAGCTTGAAAAGTTGGCAATTTGGAACGCAGCTGGACCACACCGGAAACGCAACCGCGGTAGAAGTTGAATGAAAATGCCGTGCATCACGTAAAGAAATTTAAATTAACCGATTCTGTGCGGGGAAAACTGATGAAAACTAAATAATTTATTTTCCCAACACGTCAACTTTGACAACAGTTTAAAAGAATGTGAAAATTTTGACAGATATTTATCTTTAAACCAAACAAATGACAGATGTCCCTTTAAATGAAGTGAATGACAGATGTGCCTTTAAATCAATCAGTTTTCCCCAACTCAAAATAGATTTTCGATCCAGGTGATTGGGGCTTTTGTGCCCGTGTTCTTGAACAGTTTTTCAGCAAATTAACCTCGATAAAGCCTTTAATAGTAGTTTTCGATACAAGGGCGAAACACGAATCATAAGTCAATATAAATAAAAATTCGCGAGTTCAAAAGTCCAAACACCCCCTGGTGGCTAAAATTATAGCAAAACCTCAACTATAATCGTAATTTGACACTTGTTTTGTTGACATTTGTGTCACATTAGTGTTTGTGGTTTGTTTTTGCAAGATTGACCAACTTTTGCAACATTTTGAAGAAATAGAAACAGGTCAAAAAGTGTGTAAGTATTGTTTTACGTTATAGATGCCATCAACTCCAATAAATAAACAAGTCTGGCAAGTCTCAATTGTTGTCAATACTCGACAACTAGTAATTTGACGTTTCGCAGGGCCACCATCGGTAGTTGAACTCGCGAATAGCCAAAAATAAAAGACGTCAACTTCATATTTAAAATTTGATGTCAATGCCATTTTTGAAACATTCACGTTTTGACGTTTGTAATTTGTCAAAAGCGTACTTTTGTAAGCGTATACAAGTGAAGCAACGAGTGTTGAAAATTCAAGTGCTGCTTTCACGGTATGGTGTTTGTATAAGTTGCATATTTTGAGAAAATTTGTTATGGCTAAAAGTGATGCTTTCGCCATCGAAAACAGTGGCGAAAGTACGTCCTTTCCACCTGGGGATCAAGAAAAAATCTTTTGTGTGCCAACTATGCATGTAAAATTAAAAAATAATTTTCGCATGCCTTAAACTACCTGCGGTAAATCTTGGACTGATAATTGACAATTTGCAACAAAAATTTACTAAAAAAATATATCCGCCTCAAACCACCTACTCAACTACCGCCCTTCTGAAGCACTAATAAGCACGTGTACTTTTTCCGCAACGCCGCAGAAGTGATCCTCAACCCTACATAAAATGGAGCAAAAGTCTTCGGGCTGTCAATTGTCTTTAAACCAAGTGAATGACAAACATATCTTTAATTTAAGTGAACGACAGATGTCTTTATATTTGAATAATCACTTTTCCCCCGCTCATAATAGATTGGTTCCAGCTGAATGAGGCCTTTGTGCCGGTTTTCTTGAATAGTTTTGCAGCAAATTAACCTCGAACACCTTCGAATGCCACATGGTAGTAAAAAGCACGTGTAGGAATATGAAAATATTAGGAAATATGCGTTTTAGAGCTGGCTTGGGTAGTAACAGGCGACTATTTAAAATGCACATAATTGAGGCATGTTAGAGCCTGTTCAACCAACTTTTAAACAAGCTTCACGCTGCTGCTGCTCAGGTACAGCTATTGTAAGCAGTAACCTTGCAGCTTTAGGGCTAGAATTACAGCAAAGAGAAAAAAGAAACTAGTTTTTAGTGACTGTCTTAAGTCTGTCTCGTAGTGACTTAACAGCCTGCAAACGTCCCGTTTTTACAATTGCGATTATGTAAATGTTATAAACAAAGAACCAATGGATGTCGCAGATGCGACATGGCCACGAAAATGAACTAAAACCGACCTACAGGTAGGGATGTTGCCATTTTCAGGGGCCAAATTAGAGATAACGATGCTCCAGCGCTTTCCGTTAGTAAACGGCATTTACACCACCCAAATGCTCTACAGCCCAGCGACTTCCTATCGAAAAAAACCGAGAAAACGCACACAATTTATCGAGTTTCCGATTTGCACCACAGACGTCGAGGTAGCAAGGAAAAATCCATATCACACAGGACAAACCTGACGACTGGATTGTTCTCGAACTAATAGGGCTAGACTTCACTAGATCATTCAGCATCACCACTCCCCTATAAACTGGACAAAGCCATCAAATCGTACTTACTGTTCGAAAAGCTGCTTCCAAATTTCACTCACAAAAACATATGATTCGATGCGCACCATCATGAAAGTCTAAAACGATGTGATAAGTGATGATAAGCCAGTTTTAGACAAGAAAGTGCAGCCTGATGCCATCTGTGTCCTCATCGGTTCGGTAACTGCTTCAAGACATCTGCACGCCACTATAACATCACGTGGCTATCGGAGGGCACATGGCGGGTGAATGACAGTAAAAACCGTTAGAACGATTTTTCAACGTTCGCCATATTTCCGGTAGTAGCAGGTTTTCCGTCGAGAACCAGGCTCGAATAAGGGCACTCTTGAATCCACACACCTACAACCGTCATTCTAGGTCTTAAAGACCCCATTTGGAGGCTTTTTCTTAGAAAATTCTACATTTGGATTTGACACATGGGCTGTGTTAAGAGCAACGTCTAAAACGTCATGAGTGTCTCCACATTACCAGGTCAGAAACATGTACGTACTTGTCGCGTTAACTACGGTCTAAGTCGGGTGGTTGTCAGAAAAGTTATCAGTTCTTTTATCTGTAAAAATGCTTTCGACGGATTTTCCTAGGAGACTTTAGTATGCGAACAGCAATTTTAAGGCCTTCAAATGCATGAGTGAATGCACAAGGATTTGTCTGAGGATGGTTGTATCAATATCGCGAAACGTCGACAGTATGAATATCCAATTATCCAATATTTTTGTTAGACACTCATTCTGATCCTATTAAACATACAGCCTCCATCCTGAAAATCGTTCGCCATTTTTCAATTATTATTGTTTAATTTATTATTAAATTTTGATTATTGTTGGTTTGATTTGATTTTGATAAGAAACACCTTAAATGAGCAGCCGTCAAAATTGTTGTCAATTGTCAAAATAAATACTGAAATATACTGCTATTATTTGTTCCTATGGAAACAATGCTGTACGTCTTAAGATTTTCCATGGCTAACTTCGATCAACTGAATTGAAAAAGTATAAATTGTGCGCAGACACTTTTTTTCGCAAAAATCCTAACGATGTTTTTGTTTGGAAGTCATTTTTCTACCAGTTTTCCTGTCAAATTAATATCATCGGAACTAGGAGTAATAGACAGTTGTCAAATTTAAGAAAAATAAAATTCGAGGAAAGCGTTCAAAACTACAATTCTTTGTCCATTTAACATTTTTCGCAAGTGCCGTAGTTTCGAAGATCTCTGTATTGGTCATCGGAAAAAGCTCACCCTGTCTACAGTGTGATTAATTATATACGCGCCCCTAGTTAAAGTTGGTAAATAAATAAGCAACAAACAGCTAAAGAAATCTGTTGGAAACAAATCCATTTTTAATTTAGACGAACAAATTTGATTCCTCTTATTGGAACATAAACACATATAATGTACGGAAAACAAAATCTGCGAACCAAGGGCGGATCCAGGGGGGTGGTCATGGGAGTCATAACCCCCCCATTCAATTCTCTATCCAACGATGCCAAAACGGATTCTCTGGCTCGAATGGTTCTTGAGAAACTTCGAAAAAAGCAGCGTTATGTTCAAGTGGATTTTCCAACTAAAAAATCCCTCGACAAATCGACAAATTCCCTATCAACGAAAGCCCCTGTGCAGGGTCAAATTTGGACTGGAAGACATGGAGAACGCTGAACAGAATACGAACTGGCGTGGCACCCGTAAAAACAAACAACCTGAAGTGGAAAACTGAGGAAGACCAACAGCGCCTCTGTGAATTGCAAATGAAAATGCCATAGACGTAGCCCGATACTGGGCAGAAASACTTTGAATRGAATRATTTCTGACTCGAAAAATTAAAAATTAAATTAACAACGATCATTTTTCTAATTTCATAGATAACAGAAGACTGTATTTTTCTACATAACCCCCCCCCTGACTTTAAAGCTGGATCCGCCCCTGCTGCGAACTCGTCGTCTATGATTATGGACGTATAGAAAAAACGTCCCCAGACGTTATCGACGTAGTCACAACAATCTGGGTGGCTTTCATCTCGGCTTGCAGCCGATCCTCCAGATCTTCGAGCAAAATCAGCTCAGACGCATTGGAGATTTCGTCTCCATCACTAAAGGGCACTCGGTTCACAGTTTTGTACATTCTGAAGAAATAGTCCATGTACTTCCTGGAAAACCCCCAAGTGAACTTTTTGAGCGTGCGCTTCAGGCCGCACGATCCTCGAAACACTCGTGCATTAAACGCGCCCATTTGAAACCGATGGGGATTGGGAATAACAGTCAGTTGCTTCAAGTTGGTGCACAGCCTCAGCCCGATCTCGAACTGTTTGTTAATGTTAAAGTCCAGCAGCTCCAGCGTTTCCAACTGGGCGCATTTGCTGATACTCTCCAAGACTACAAAGGCCTGCCATTCCGAGCACCGCTCCAGTCGAAGTCGCTTCAATGCCGGCAGAGCTTGGAGGAACTGGCCGAAACTGTTGGCCAATAACTGGCAATCGCCCAACCCCAAGGACTCCAGTCTGCAGGATTTCGGTATTTGCACGGTGTGAAGAAGCTGTAGATCCAGATTTTTCACCCCCAACAAATAGAGGTGTCTCAAGTTGCCCAAGTTGCCGAACAGGCCGTGGAAATTGTCCAACTCCCTGTTGCAATAAAGCTTCAACTCGAGCAGTCTAGGCAGTAGAAAAATTAGGTCCAGGTTCAGCTTCATGCCAGTTGCGCAGCATACAAGACTAACCCTAACCGTCTCCAGACATCGGTTCTGGTTCGGCAGCATCTTTATCAGCTGGGAGGGACAATCACTCACTTCCAACACCTTCAGCTCTCGGTTCCCTCCAAGAAACTCCCACAAATTGTCCTAAAATGCGATGGGAACTTAGTGAACGGAGTGGAGAAATCGACGGGAACTCGCCTTGGGTCCTTGCTTCTTCAGCTTGCAGTCAATCAGTTTCAAGGCGACAATGCTGCGGTCTTTATAAGCGTTCATCATTTTGGGGAAACTGACTTTGCAACCGTACAACTCGATGGAGCGCCAGAGCCTCCAATCGCACACCAGATCATGCCACAACTTGCAAACTTGCCCACATCGCATCAGCGAAAATGTGTCCAACAGCTCAAACACAAAAGGGAGAGTGTTGTAGGCGAAACGTTGCTCTTGGGCGAGTTTCTCGCCGAGATCATCGCAGTGCTCATCACTGTAACAGAAGCAATTAATCTGCTTAAAACGAAAATTACTGTGCAGATATCTTGAAATCAGTAGCGACGCTTCGCCCAAGCGGAAATAAAGCTGGCGCCGCCACTGCTTGGAATCCAACTTTCGTTGCAAACTTGGTGACAGTGTGAGCAAACGGATAAAAGATAAAATTCAATCAAAATAAGTTATCTTAAGGAACTGTAAATGATTGAAAAACGATCAATTGGACGAGGTGGAATAGTGCTAGGCCACCTCGATCGCCTGACCTAAACAATCGGGATTTTTAAAAACAAACTCCATTTGGTCTCAATTGTGTGGATAAATCAAATGAAATCGCGACACGACTTTTTGCTGGTTCCGATTTGTGCTGCCCACAAAATATCCCCCAGGGGGTATGTTCTGTGGTGCTGCCTGCTGCCGCTCCGCCTAAAAGCCGAAGTTTTTCGAGCTTGGTAATCTGTGGTTCCTCCCAAACGGGAGGAGGTGGAGCGAAATAGGCCACCTCGATCACCTGACCTACACATCGGGACTTTTAACCAGAGACAAGAAATAATTCTCTAATCTAATAATAAAAAAAAGTCTCTGTTTTAACTAGTGAGCAGAAGCAAAGGGTCCTCCCTTTCAACCGAATGAAATCCGTTCCTGAATGGTTCCTAGTTATAATTTATTGTGTCGCGACTGCTAAAAGCTGAACGGGAAGGGTTAAGACGCAAAACCAAATCAAATGAATAGTATTGCTGAATAAATTAATGTATAGCTGATTAAGCACATTCCCGGATAGATCGATTGGCAGAAGAGGGCCAATTGAATGGCCTCCAAGATCACCGGATTGAACACCCTAGACTTCTTTTTTTGGGGAAATCTCACGTCCATTGTTTATAAAACCGAAGCTGCTGATATTGATTATCTTAGAAGGCGTATTGCAGCAAAATGTCGGTCAATTCCCGATGATTTCCGAAATGTTAGAGACTTAATTATTGTTTACAGCAAACCGGGCAACATTTTGAACAATTGAATAAAAGACGCGTGAAAATAAGCTCTGTTAAGCGCAGCTTTCGCGAACAAAAGGGTTTTACACCCTGTGGATTACGAGGTCAATGTCGGCAAGCTATTATTAACATGTTTGCAACAATACCTTTCCGAAGCCGAGTAGTTATGAAAAATAGTCGTCATTAGCTGGTTGTCCCCAAAAATGGGCCGTTTATGCATTGTTTCGCTTTAATTAGCGCTTTTTAATGCTGACGTAACTCAATTGAGGAAAAAACTGGGTTAGGTAGTTTTCACGTACAAAAAATCCTTGCAAAGCCTCTGATTTATTATTAGATTCTTAACATTTACTTGATTTTTTTTAAAATTTAGGTAAAAAATCAAAATACTTCTGTCTCAATATTCACCACAATTTAAGACTCGTTGCCGAGTGACAGTTGAGACTTGTGCTTTAATTTAAGTGTACTTTAAGGGAACATTAAAAAGAAAGCCAAAATCCGCCTGAACTTTTCTACTCGCGGGTAGAGTGGGAGGTCTAAATATGAGTAGTCTGTGTTTTTTTAAGTAATCGGGCGACAGCGTTGTCAGTTAAGAATGACGGAACAGGTAGAAGCGGTAAGAAGACTCTATTGTCTTTCTTGGAATGTCAGTAGCGTCAATCTGTCCGTGTTTGATTGTGAGTTTTGAAATTGTAAACGGTCGTTTTAAAAATTTATAGAAAATGTTGGATTTCGAAGAGAAAATGTTTTAGAAACATCACCGAGAGATGTTAATGTATATGCTAGACGCTTTAATGTGCGCTTTGAAGCTGAATTGCGAACTTTAAACAACGAAAACTTGGTGGTTAGTGAGACAATTGTTGAGGGAAATGGCTGATTTTAATTTCTCGATTCCCTCAAAGTTAAGAGACTTATTAATTGAGAACGGTGATTACTTTGTTCGTAATGTGATAGTGCCAGGAAATATTCAAGCACAACTTAAAGGTATGCTGCGGTATGTCTAGATATAGGTTATATTTGTGGTTGCAGCTAACCGGGAAAGTGATGGTGTTCTTTAGGGCTCCTTAAGGTTTTTGTGCTTTTTAAATGCAAGTGCGCTTGATATTAGGCAGTTTCAGACGGAAAACATCTTGGAGCGTCCATACCAGCGGCTCAAACTTTTTTGGTGGCTGAACCCTTTTAACGGAGCCCTAAACCGTAACTAAACTAAAAGCAAAACGAGTTATATATGTATTGTTTATCAGTAAACATAGAAAAAAAGTTTTTTGGAATTAAACGAAAATTGGTAGGCAGATGTATATATAGATCGGATGTAGCAATCGATTATGGTTGCCTATCAATATTAATATTAATAAGATTTCGGAAAATACATTTTTTTCTAACGAACGTGCTACGTGAATCACCATGTATTATTATGTACCCGTAACATCTATAGGTAGGGCTTTTTTCCGGCAGTTTAATTTGATCTTAGGTAACTTTATTCTTATAGATTCCTCTTTAACAAATGTATTGGTTTTATTGTTGGCGGAGCCCTACCGTAGGCTTGGGGAGCACCGAGGCACTTTTTAATAATTTAGTAAAATTGTGTTTGCTTTATTTTTTGTGTCTACATTTATTAATTTGACAATTTAATTTAATTTTAGAAAGCAAACTGGCCTTTCAACAGGATGGCCCTGAATGGATATTGGAAAACTTCGATATCTACTTTTCTATTTTGTATCAGGATAAATCCGTTTCCTTGGAAACAGTTTACAAGTCCTATCTGATTCTCCATGCAGGTAAACGATTAGCGATCACTACTGATTTGCAATCATTATGATTAATTAGCCAGTATATTTTTCTGATTTCCAAGTCCAATAAATGTTCTAAAAACCCATTGAAGAAGTGTATATCTGTGACTTGCAGCTGTGAAGAAGTTGAGTAACTGCCTTGGGTTTTTGCTGGAAGATAAATCGAGCATCACTGAAGAAGTTCAACAAAAGTACCGCAATGTGCTCAAAATGCTGATTTACATCTACATTGAAACGATTTTGTTTGTGGAACAAGCGAATGTTACATCCGCAAAAAACCAAGGCCTGTTAAAGGGCCGTAAAAGACCGAACTCCGAGGACACTGCGGTTTTCAACTTGGACAAGAATAGTATATTAGTGTCGCTTAATAATATTTTGCAATTGGAAATAGCGCTGTTTTGGGAGCCGCCAGTGGTCGAGGAGCATTTTATTAACCTGCTTGCAGAAGTGTGCTATAAGTTTTTGGAAAACCCGCAGATAAAATTCGAGAAGTCTTTGAAGGATGAACTTTTCAACCTGATGGGTAAATCGAGCTCGCTCTCTTTTAGCACATTTAAAAACCAGCAGATTTTTAGGTTGTCTAATGAAGAGCTACAATCACAGCACAACATTTGCCATTAGAATGGCGCAGATGATCAAGGATCATGAGCATCTTATTCAGTGCCTGGCAGAAGGAACCAAATATTTGGTGGAAACTCACAATTGCAAGGGGCTGATTCACGCCCTTATACAGGAAGTAACTGAATGGCAGACTGATGAAAAGTTTCAAGACAGTCAGGTATTTCCTCTCCTCCTGGTATTTCCTTTCCTTCTCTCAAAGTCGTACATTAATTGTTTTGATGTTTTATACCGTTGGTTTACTTTGACTTGATTCGCAGGGTTCCAAGTTTTGCGGACAGTTTATAACCAGTCTGGCCGTATCTATGCCTAGCAACATGCTGCCGGAATTGTTATATCTGAACAAATTTTTGGGACACGAGGTTAGTTATTTGTGGCCATTATTTCAAACTTAATTTATTTGTTTGCGCGTTCAGTCAGCGGCATTGAGAAATTCCGTTCTGAATGTAATGACGGAAGTTATCCTACACGTTCAGGCGAAGCTGGAACTTAACAAGGAAGAAAGAGAGTACCTCAATGAGTTATTGTCGATTCTTATGGAGCATATGAGGGATAAATCAGCGCATGTCCGGTAGGTATATTTGCATGGTGTGGATTCAGCTTGAATTCAACAGTTCGAACCTTTCATTGTAAAAATCTCCCAAGGCATGCATGCTGGGCATAACGCATAGTCATGCTCTCAGTAAGACAGAATGACCGTTGAACAGTCAATTTCTCCAAACAAATGTTTTGGTTTTCAAAACTTTTAAACGATTTCAACTTGAATTTGCTAGTGGATATTTGATGTCTTTCAGAACGCGTGTCATGCAACATTTTGCGCGATTGCAAACGGAAGGTGCAATTCCACCGCACTTAGTGAATGATGTTTTGGAAAACGTCGTCAAGTACCATTTGCACGACAAAGCTGCCTTGGTCCGTAAAAGCTCAGTTGGTTGCGTTACGACGTTTCTGTCTTATAACGTGTACGGCTCACAGGCAAGTGGATCTTAAAGTGGCTCCAGTCATCAACTGAAAATAATCCATTGTTTAGCTATCGTTAAGCGAGGTGACCAAAGAGCTGGAACGTAAGAGAGAATTGCTGGACCAGCTTCAACCGCAAGTCGACCAGGTTAAATCGCTGAAGGCCAAAGAATTGGAGGCCGAGTGGCACAAGATGGTCCCCGAGTTACGGGAGTTTCTTCTGGAATTATTGCAAAACGAAGGTAATTGATTAATTGTTAAGGCGATTTTCATTTCATTTTTGGGGCGTTAGATGAAGCCGAGGAAAATTGTCCAGAAACAGGCGAAGAAGAAGCCACCGAACTAATCCGAATGTACATAGGCGACGGGAAGTATAAGGAAGCTTTGCAGATTTGGAAGCGCTCCATAAATACCGATGATAACATGGGCGAGTAAGCCATTGCTTCGCATTAATTAAAACAGAGTGAGTGCTGGACGGATCTTTTAGAAATCCCGATTCGGACAAAATTTTGGATGAGTTCTTGTCGCACCTGCAAGAAATCTATCAGGGCTTCGAAATCCTGAGCTCAGTGAAAAACGGAGCCATTCGCGACAATACCATCATAACCGAGGAAGACTTCCAAAAATTCTTGAGTTTGCGGGTGCGGAAACTTCCACACGCAGCCAATGCCAATTGATTACGTTGGTCTTTTTCAGGAAACATGCGATTATCTAACGAGGGCAGTCAACTTTCTAAAACTGATAAATATTGCAGTCGAATTAATCGTTGAACTGTTGGAAACCACCTGCATTAGCGATATGCAAGAAGCAGTTGCGTTCTTTAATGCGGCGTATCTATTTAAAATCGACAATGCTCAAGTTGGAGTCACTGGTAAGTGGAAAGCACAAAATACAGTTTTTTAACTTATATTATGAATCACCTTGTGTATTTGGTGCGTTTAGCGATGATGAAAATGATGCAATGCAACGAGGAGAATCGAAAGGATTTAATAATAGAGGCATTCAAAAACATGTACCTGAAAACCGACGCTTCCAACATGAAGTATGTAGATGCATCCGTTTTGAACGCATTGATTTTCTCGTTTTTTCGTCTTAAGGGATCATTCGATGACAGTCATCAATCGATTAATCGGCTTACTTTTATCGGCCTCTGCATATGATATGGACAATTTGGAGCTGATTATATCGGAATGGGTCCATAAAGGTAAGTTATGATTGTTCTGATGGGTTTCATTGTGATGGTAATAATCTAAAGACTGTCGTTTGACATTGTTATACATTCCCGCTAAGGTTTTTGCAAGGTGTTTTTCATTGTTTTTCCGCGCAAACCAGATAAGCTGGAAATGTGCCTGTTGGTCGCTGGACGGAGCGCATTTAAATCTAATAGTCCCACCAATTTGGCCAATCAGGCGAGTGCACTTTTGTCGGCATCAGCGGATAAAATGTCGGGCCTTCTAATAGACGCGGTCTTAAGATAAAAGCACAGCTCAACTTGTTAATGACCACGATTCCCAATAATCAAAGAACGACTAAAGGGGGATAATTTAAATATCTTGCTTATGAATTCGTCTAGTAATGTTTCCCGTCCTGAAACATATTCTCTTTGGTCATTATGAATATGAGTCGAATCTTCACTGGATTCCACAGCTGCTTTATAGCCGAAAATTGAGGGAAAGGCGTGGGTAGCAAAAAGTAGGCGGGTATTTTATAAAAACGACCCTAATAAAGCAAACTGCTATCGATTTCAGGTATTCTAGATAACAACATCATTGACATGCTGTGGCAGTATTTTACCAAAAAAGTCGACGTTAGTGATCAGTATTCCTTGGCCAGCGTGGAATTGTTGCGAATGGCAGCCTTGAAGCGTGGAACTGTGATAAGTCGCAATATAAAATTGGTCGCTTCAGTAGGTGAGCGAAGGGTGAAGTTTCAATATTTTCATCCCACTTGAAATGTATGTCTTTCAGCTTTCGCAGAAAGGGGCCGCAAAAATCTCGCGTTTCTAGGCAGCGCCTGTAATTTTCTGGCTGTGGCCGGCCGGGATAGAATCGACATTACATCGGCAGATCCGCCTTTTTCCATTAGCTGCGAAGACAGTATTTTCAGTGATCTGTTCAATATATTAACCGACACATTTTTCACTCCGCAGGAATTTTACTATCACGCCTTGGCCGGGGCGTTAGAGTTTGTTTATAAGGTTGGGGGCGTGTTAAACCCAAAGTACTGCATCTAAACCGCTTTTGTTGTAGGTGTGCGGAAAACCGCACAAGCTTTGCGAACAATTTACTAAGCAAATAGTGGAAACGTTGAAAACCCGGATATCGGACGAGGGCATCGAGGAATTTATTTACATACGAGTATGTCAACTGGTAGGGCTCGTCGCTTTGAAACACCTGAATTATTTAGACGAGACCGTGTATAAGGAACTGAAACGACGAGCAAATTACCAGATGTCCAAAAAAAATGGAAAACCAACTGAACCAAAAATGAACAAAAGTCAAAAATCTGCATCAGCCAGTAAAAAGTCGGGCAACAACACAACCACCGCAACATCAGCGGTATGCAAGTTTATCGAGAAAAAATGAAAGTTTGAAAGTAAACCGCGTTTATTTACCAGGGGGACGAATCTCGAATGGAAGGGGCTCAGGCGGAAGATCAAGACGCTGAATTCATTTTACACATCTTGGAAAAAAACACTGTCACTGGCTTGGGGCTTTTATCTCAGCTCGTTCATCCTGTTGTGAAGGTTTGCGCCAATGTCGATGTTTATGATAATTCGCTTCTACAAGGAGCCGCTGTAGTCGCCTTAATAAGGTACTTTATACCGGACTTTGTATCTCTCCAGGAGATTAATCCTAACCATGGTAAATCTATTTAAGATGCATGTTGGTATCCAGCGAGTTTTGCTTGCAAAATATTCAACTTCTGTTCACCATATTCGAGAAATCGACCCATCTGGATATAAAAAAATCTATCCTGCTGCATATTCCCGATTTACTGACCCGATTCCCCAACATCATTGAACCATGGATGCACAGAATATTCGATGGGTAAGGGATTGGATGCAGTCATTTAATTTCCAGCTTCATAAAAATTGCGGTTCCAGACTAAAAAATTCTGCGATTGAAATCAGAACGGCCACATTCTACTCGTTGTCCTGTCTTATACTGCGGGATATGATCCGGGCACATTCGCACATTCATTTGATGGTGAATGGTTTGATCGATCCCGATAAAGAGCTGAGCAGTATGTGTCGGACTTTTTTCACCACTTTGTCTCAAAAAGAGAACAACCTCTACAATATTCTACCGGATATATTTTCGCATCTGATGGAATCTGATAGTATTTCGGAAGAAAACTCGAAATATATAATGAAGTGAGTTGGATCCACTCTCGTCGCGACCGTGGGCTGATTTTCCTTTGTGAATTCGTAGATTTTTGTTCGAATTAATGGAAAAATGCAAGCACATGGGCAACTTGGTGGATCGATTCTGTGTTAAATTCAAGGAAACTGATAATATTAACCATCAGAGGCACATAGCGTACTGTTTGTCACTGATCGTGTACAATGATAAAACCTTGAGAAAGCTGCTGAATAACTTCCCGATGTACAAGCATTTGGTGCACGATTCGGATATTTATTCAAACTTCAAGACGATTTTACAAGGGTGCAGTAAGCAAGGGAAAGCGGAATTGAAGGTAAGCAATTGATAAGATCACAAAACAATTGAAACTAGTGGGTTTATAGGCCGTCGTACAATAGCATTTCTTCCTGACGTTTCGCATGCACGATTGGCTTGCATTTTCAGAGCAAGGGCGGATCCAGGGGGGGGGGA